TCCCGCCCCGGGCACCACCACCATCCCTAGTGGGGGGAAGGGGCTGGGTGCCCACTGGCCCAGCCAGAGGCATGCCATCTCCCAGCACCCCAAATCAGGCACGAGCCCCTCAGCATCTCTCCCTGCACCACACAGGCAGTGGGGGCTCCTTTGCACCTTGGCTGCTGTGCTGGCTCCCAGGGGAGGCGAAGGCTTTTCTCAGATCAGTCACCTGACTTCTCCCACCATCCTGGCAGCCCTGGGGGCTGCGGATGAAAGGCGCTTCACCACATCAATCACAGCAACACAAAGCCCCAGTGCAGCGTGGTGGCGGGCGAGGGGCTGCCAAACCCCGGCCCTGCTGCAACCTCTGGCTCAGGGTGGGGGTCTTGAACGTCTCCTTCAGCTGCAGCCCTGATGCGGGGCTCTGAGCTACAAGGGCTTTGCTGGGGCAGGGGCTGAGGGCTGTTGGTGCTGGCAGGCAGCAGGTGCTGAAAGGAGGGTCCCTCGATGGCTTGTTGCTTCCTGGGCAAGAGGGATGGGGGCCTCAGAGACCCTCCTTAGGGCCCACAACTGCCCCAGCCTGCACGCTGGCTAATTAACAGGCAATTAGATGATGGACAAGTCTGAGCATGACCAGGGCTGCCTGTGTCCCTGCCCACAGCCCCTTGCCCACCATGGAGCCGGGGCAGAGCCCATCTCTCCCCGCCAGCACTGGGAAGCCACTGCACATCCCTAGGGCAGCCAGGCAAACCAGCCCCACGAGCCCTCTGCAGATATGAGCTCCCCGCCGCCGCAAGGTGTCTTGAGGCAGGGTGGGCAGCAGCCCCCACCGCTGAGCCCCCAGCAGGGGGCACGGTGAGGACAGTCCCAGCTCCCCCCCACCAGCCCCGGCAACACCAGCTGAGGCTTGAATTTCCCTCCGGACAATGGGGAAGGCAAGCTGGGATTGTAACCGGAGCAGGGGATAAATAAAGCTGCCCAGAAGTTTCCATTACCCGCACCTCAGGCTTCTGCATGGGACATCAAAGCTGAGCCCTCTCTGCTGCAAAGTCCCGCACCCTCAGCCCATCACCCCAGCTGCCAGCCTGCCATGCCCCAGGTGCCAGAGCGCCAAGCCCCCTTGCCTGGCACCGAGGCCCCAGCAGCCAACGGTGCCAACACAAATCACCTACAGAGCGCAGACTGGAAAAGATGATTCGTTAGCGTGACAGCACAGGAACACCCTCCTCCTTGGCCAGGAGGCGGTGGGCACCAGAACCAGCCCCGGGGAAGCCAAAGTGGGGGCTGGACGCAGGGAGCCCCCCGGTACCATGCTCCTGCCACAGTCGGTGGCAACCCAGCACAGCACGCTCCTCCTCTTTTCTGCCAGCACTAGAGCCCTCCCGGGCCCAGCATACACCCACCACAGGGACTGCGGCCCCAACCCACTGAGCTGGGGGGGCTCCCACAGGGCTGCTCTCCACCCCCCCGAATTCCTCCAAACAGCACCAGGCTTGGTTGAAATAACACATCCAGGGTTTATTGTTTTTTCCATTCCTCGCAGCTAATGATTAAAAAACAAAAAAAATCTAAAATAAATTACAGAATTAAATAAACACGCACTGGATTATTCTCCTCCCTGCCCCGTCCCCGCCTCCCCCCCAAGGAAAGCATTAGAAGAGTCACTGGATTTGGCAACAGCAACAAAACAACCGCTAAGAAAAAGCAGCTACTTGTCGGGTCGAGCGGTGCTGGGGGGAGTCCCGCAGGCCTCGCCACCCCAAACCAGTGTGCATCCCCCCTCCCGCCACCACTCAGCCTCTGCCCTCTCCCCCAGCGGTGTCCCCTTGCCCCTTACCCGTGAGGCCAGCTTCCCCCGGCGTGCCGTCCCCAGGGAGGTGGCAGCCCCCACTCTAGACATGCGTCGGGTTGTCCAGATATGGGTCCGTCTTGGTCATGTGTAGCATGACTGTGGGGGCTTTGTAGTGGCAGTGCACCCCGCTGCAGCTCACCCCACTGCAGGGCTTGCCTCTCGTCCTCACGCCCAGCTTTCTGTTGCACAGACTCTGCCAGGTCTGCAACGTCTTGGAGCTCCACACCCACACCCCACTGGTGATGCCCACCACCAGCGACATGAAAATCTTTAGCATAAAGACAGCCACGGTGGGCACTGAGGCCTCCAAGGAGCAATTGGCAGCACGCCGGCCAGGGAGGTGCAGGCAGCCGCGCTCCAGGGCCCTGAGGTTCCAGTAATCCATGTTCAGCCGCTCATAGAAGTAGCAGACAATGACGCAGGTGGCTGGGACGGTATAGAGGATAGAGAAGACTCCGATCTTCACCATCAGCTTCTCCAGCTTCTCTGTGTTGGTGCCGCCTGTCTTCATGATCTTCCGGATGTGGAAGAGGGCGACGAAGCCCGTGAGGATGAAGGATGTGCCGATGACCAGGTAGCAGGAGAGGGGGATGAGGACGAAGCCGGTCAGGGCACTGACATCCATGCTCCCCACATAGCACAGCCCTGTGAGCTCATCCCCTGCCACCTTCCGCATGGTGAGGATGACGATGGTCTTCATGGCCGGGATGCCCCAGGCGGCCATGTGGAAGTAGCTGCTGTGGGCCTCGATGGCCTCATGTCCCCACTTCTTCCCAGCGGCCAGGAACCAGGTCAGGGTGAGGACGACCCACCAGAGCGAGCTGGCCATGCCGAAGTAGTAGAGGATGAGAAAGACGATGGTGCACCCTGTGCTCTCCAGCCCCTCCTGGATGATGTAGAGCTCGCCGTTCTCCCGGTCACAGGCAATGTTCTCAGCCCCTGCCACCGAGCGGATGATGAAGGCCACGGAGTAGACGTTGTAGCACATGGAGAGGAAGATGATGGGCCTCTCGGGGTACTGGAAGCGGTGGGGGTCAAGCAGGAAGGTGAGGACAGTGAAGGCAGTGGAGACGAAGCAGAGGGTGGACCAGACAGCCATCCAGATGAAGGCAAAGTCCTTGTCCTCCCGGGACCAGTAGACGTCCACCCCGGGGGAGCACCTGGGTGCACAGGAGAGGCTCTTCTCCACGTATTGGAACTTCTCAGGGTTGTCACAGGCCCCCAGGCCATTGGGTCCCCGGCCCTCGGCA